GGTGGCAAGGAGAAGAGGTGGCAGCGGCTAGGGTTTATGAATGAGGATTTATTACGGTTAGGGTTTCAAGCTCTGATACCGTGTAGAAAGAGATAATTGAGAGAACAAAAATCCTAACTTTTTAATTGATTTATTCAGATACTAGAGAGATATATATAGTCATACAAATAGGGGTATAGTTAACGGGTCACGGCCCATTAACCCAATACCCAATATACTTAATCTAACAGTTATGAACAATAGACATCACTAACGACAGCATGAAACCAAATAGCATTTCCATGTTATTGTGCGCTCTGCGGCCAATGAGCGAAAAGGTTCAGATAATGATAGGAGATGATGATATAGATGCTGTGATTTATGAGCATTTGTGATACGAGTCGCCGTGCGAGCACCATTTGATCGCGGAATTACCAAAATATGGGTTGAGAAGAATACAACTAAAACACAAGAACAATTCAGTATGGCGAAGGAAAATACCTTCTCTAGATTATGAAGAATCAATTATTACAAATCTCTCCCTCACAATCTCACTAGAATCGAGAACCTCTCAATCCTTTCTAAACCCTAATACAATGATTAGAATCTCTCTTAATTTCCTCTCCTTCCTTAGAAATCCTAAAATAATCCTTTATATAGGTGTACAAACGTGGATGGCAATCTGATAAATAACCAAGCCCAAAACCAACAGGAATTCGTGTGAATAGAAACCCAACCAAACCAAAAAATCACCGATGAGTCGACTCATGACTGAGATGAGTCGACTCATGACACGAGTCGACTCATAAAACTGATGAATCGACCGAGCAGAATTTTTTGACAAAACGGCTGGGTTTCGTGAGTCGACTCATGACAGTCATGAGTCGACTCAACCTGATGAGTCGACTCATGTACATGTATGAGTCGACTCACGAGCTGAAAACTGGATTCTTCGAATCTGCTGCTCCTCTCGTTCCACGCTTCCACCTACGTTCCATTTTATTGTTTCACACCTCTATTCTCATGCTATCATGAGAATCATCTATCCTCAAGCTCCCATGAGGATCGCTAAGCTCCCGAAGAGAAGATACACCCGTATCATGGGTCTCCTCTTTAGGAACTTGAAGTCCCGTTCAAGTTAGAACTTTTGCTGAGAAAACTCTCGAGCTCCTCCATCTTTTCTGCACCATCTGGCCCTGCTAGGAACCTGGTCTCGATGTCCGATCGAAAACATCTCATCCATCCCGCGTTTCGTCGTAGTCATCTTTCGTCCTAAGTTGTAATCCTTTATCGATGGCTCTTCTGGAAGTCTAATGCACAGCGAGACAAACTTTTTGCTTGCATTCACTAGTCTCTTTGCTCGCGTCACCGTCCCCAAGCTTGTCTTCCTCGGAAGAGATGCCGAACGAAATATGAACTTTTCACCATTCTTAGTGAAGGTGTACTTCTGAGCCCGCCTCTCGTAGATCGTATATCTATCCCATAAGTACGGATTGCCCAGTATAATCTGATAAACATCTAATAGAATGACGTCACACGTGACCTCGTCAATATACGACTCGTGGAGCGTAAATCTGACAGTGCATTGATCAACTACACTTAGTTTCTCCTCCTTCTGAATCCATCCCAATGGATAGAGCTTCGGATGCTTGACCGTCTTCAGACCCAACTTCTGAACTAATGCCTCGGATATTAAATTCTTCTCGCTGCCCGAATCAACAATGGCATCAACCAAACTGGTCTTCACTTGCAACTTAAGAACAAAAAGTTGTTCTCTTGGGTCGTCGTCCTTTTTCGTGGTCTGCTTCCCCGTCATAAGGTTGAGACTGCTGTTGGGTTCTGTCATCCCCGGGACTTCTTTCGGACCTTGAGCTATCATGTATGTTTTTTTCTTCTCCTTCTTTAACCCTCTTGGCTTGAGATGAGGATATTTTTCCCAGCACCGATCAGCTGTGTATCTTATCTTCTCGCAGTGACTACAAATCAGCCATGTTTTTTCTGGATTATCCTTCTTCTCCTCCTTAGATTGAGAACCACTAGACTCGCCTCCCGTTTGTTTAGAGTCTCCCTTAGCCTCGTTGTCCTTCTTTTGCTTGCCCTCGAGGGCAATAGCCTTCACGCTCGCCTCTGTAATTGATTCCACCGTGATTAGCTTTATCTTCTTTCGGATGTAATCGCTCAATCCCGTCATATACTTCATAAACACGGAATATTTCTCTGTCGCAATGTTAAGGACCATTGCCTGCTGATGGAATTCCGTGGTGTATTTTTGAACGGTTTGATTGACCCTTTGGCGCAAACCGTACCACTTGTACTAACGCTCTTCAAGGAATCCCATCGGGTAGAACTGTTTTCTTAGTAACTCCTTAAACTTGTCCCACGACACCGCCTTCTCCTGCTTACAGTAGGATTTTCACCACGTCAACGCGTGCCCTGAAAGCTTCAAAGTCGCGAACACAATCTTCTCTTTTAACAAATAGCCATAAAGAGTAAAATACGTCTTCATCCGCTCGATCCAGTCATCAAGCCTCTCGGCGTCAACACTCCATCATAAACAGGAATCTCCACCTTGAAGTCAATCTTCAGGTTCTGATAAGAATTCTTACCCCATTGATGCAATGTAGTCTTAACGGTCTCCTCTTCGTCGGAATCTGAATATACTCTCTTCACATCGGACTCAATAATTTTCTTCGAAAAAGATTCACCTTGTTTGCCACCTCCATGGATAAGACTGACGAGTTGTGTGAGAGTCGAACCTATCGTCTCGATCTGCTTCTCCAATGCATCAATCCTCGCTGAATTGTCTCCTTCAGCCATCTTCTCCTTCCTTATCTTCTGGACTTCTTCCAAAGAAATAAAGATTTCGCCAAGCTTCTTGTACTGTGATCGAGTAAGGACCATACACAGGATGCCCCCTTCACATGATCTGATTGCTCTGATACCAACTTGATACGAGTCGCAGTGTGAGCACCATTTGGTCGCGGAATTACTAAAAGGTGGGTTGAGAAGAAGACAACTAAAATACAAGAACAATTCAGTATGACGAAGAAAAATACCTTCTCTAGATTATGAAAAATTAATTATTACAAATCTCTCCCTCACAATCTCACTAGAATCGTACCTTCTCTAGATTATGAAAAATTAATTATTACAAATCTCTCCCTCACAATCTCACTAGAATCGAGAACCTCTCAATCCTCTTTAAACCCTAATACAATGATTAGAATCTCTCTTAATTCCCTCTCCTTCCCCTAAAACAATCCTTTATATAAGTGTACAAACGTGGATGACAATCTGGTAAATAACCAAGCCCAAAACCAACAGGAATTCGTGTGAACAGAAACCCAACCAAACCAGGAAACCGTCGATGAGTCGACTCATGACTGAGATGAGTCGACTCATGACATATGGGTCGACTCATAAAACTGATGAGTCGATCATGCAGAAACTTTTGACAAAACGGCTGGGTTTCGTGAGTCGACTCATGATAGTCATGAGTCGACTCATCCATGTATATGTATGAGTCGACTCACGAGCTGAAAACTGGATTCTTCGAATCTGCTGCTCGTCGTCTCGTTCCACGCTTTCACCTACGTTCCACTGTACTGTTTCACACCTCTATTCTCATGCTATCATGAGAATCATCTATCCTCAAGCTCCCATGAGGATCGCTAAGCTCCCGAAGAGAAGATACACCCGTATCAATTTGTGGTCTACTATTGCTCTTCCTTTCTTCTCTGTTTAAGCAAAGCAACTGCCTAATATACTGTTGCCAAACTTCCTTTAGGAGCTGATTTTCAGGGTTGATTATGTATTGCGGATCAGAATGATCACTTTTGCTGTCTTGCTAATTTTATTCGAAACTCATGTTGTTGGCAAAAAATTGTGTTAGATTTCACCATGTATTCTATCTTTCCAGCATGGAAAATGCATTATAATTTTCTTTTGTTTGCAGATCTTATTGATTTTAACGCTTTAAGAAATACACTAAATTTTGTAGCTGATTTAGGTCTGGGAAGTTGAGGAAGGGAAGCATAAACCTGGAGAGGTGCTACACACAATAGGTTGGCCATTAGACAGGAATACATATGGAGGAAGCTTTTTGTACCATATGAAGGATAGGCAGGTAAATTAATGTTGCCTTTTCTTAATTCTTGTTGTTTCTTTTCTCAAATTATGTTGAACCACATTTAAGGTAACTTCTACGATTTACCCTTTCTTTTTCCTTTTTTTGAAACTCTTTAGTTGATGTGAATTGTCACGTACCTTGATTTAATCTGATGATGCAAGCATGGACCAAACAATTTTTTGTAATCATTTTGTTTCTATAGTCATGTAATATTTGAATCTAACTAAAACTTGCCTTTGTGTTTCCTCAATGAAAGTAGAAAAATATGTTTGTAGCTGCTATTGTTGCAAATGTGATTTTTGCAACGTCTTCATGCCTGTGTACTAAAAAAGAAGGCCTTATCCTGACTCTATACTTGCATTCTTATAAATTCTTTTACTTACTAGATCAAGCACGGAAAGAACATGCCTAGATCTTTTACTTATTAGATCAAGCACAGAAAGAACATGCCTAGATGATATGCAAAGTTAACTTTCAAATTTTGTTGAGGCACTAAATGAATATTGCTACTATAATCCTTTTCCCTTTCGAGGTGAATAGTTTGCTATGATGCATGACGAGCATTCATTTCGAATCTTTGATACTATCTCTATTCGCATCTGGTACAAGTAAATTGTTAAGTTTGTCGTACGTATTAGTGCATAACCCAATAACTTAGATTCTAGGTAAAGTGATAATTTAATGTGGTTAGGAGAACCATATTTTAAGATGGTCTTGGTTCAAACATACAGCACATAAACATTAAAAAAAACCCTTTATCCCAGGTTATTTGAATCATCTACATGAACTTTGAAATAGAGAACTTGTGTTTGGTTGGGTGTTTTTCTCTGTTAATGTGCTATGATTATTGAAATATTCCATTCTCTCTTTCCAAACTATGTACAACTCTTTATTTCATTTGGTTGATGCCTAACTGGCACTCTTTTACTTGTTGCATGTGCAGATATCAATTGGTCTAGTTATTGCTTTAAATTATCACAATCCTTATTTGAGCCCTTTTGATGAATTCCAGGTAAGTGATTTTGTATTTAGAGAATAACTGGTTTTTTATGATCTGTTGCTGTAAATGAATCATATCACATTTACATGCTTGAAATTTATCTTATTGTCGCGTATGTTATTCAGTCTACTGTGTTAATGACTTTGCATCAAAGATCTCTTCCGCTATACCAAAACTCCAAAGTTATTGAGATGGTTCAAAGTTATAACTTTATACTTTAACTTGCTCTTGACTTTAATCATATATTTTTTCTGTAGAAATTCAAGCACCATCCTGCCATCAGAAAGCTTTTGGAAGGTGGAACCGTGCTTCAGTATGGCGCCCGTACTTTGAATGAAGGTGGCTTCCAGGTGTAGTGCAGAAATTCGTGATACTTAGGGTAATAAGATTATATCGGGATAGTAGAAATTAATGGACATAAGATTCTTGAAGTTGCTGAAAAATATACTTGTAGTTTTATCGTCCTAAAATTAGGTTCAGTGAGAACTCCTTCCTCTCGCTAGTATTAACATTTATGTCATTAAATTGTTCATAGATTTCTGCTTTCAATATGAACTATTCATAATAATCAACTTATGTCTAGTTGCATACAGATCTTTTTAGACAGTGACCATTTTCATGCTTGTAAATTTCAGTCAATTCCATATCCAGTATTTCCTGGAGGAGCAATTATTGGATGCTCTGCTGGCTTCTTAAATGTGCCTAAAATAAAGGGAACACACACAGCAATGAAATCAGGTAAAAGCTCTCTTTTTCAAGCGTATGCATACATGTTAACTCTTAATCATATCTGTTCTCCAATCAGGTAAAATATCTTGAATATTAATTTTTATTAAGTTTTTTTTGGGATATTCATCCAGTATAGCTTGCATTGTTTCTCTCCAAACCCACATCCTGCTGACGTTTGCATATTTTACTTCATGTCTTACAACATGCATCTAGTATCGAGATGATCACATCA